TTTTAATTGCATGTTGAGTTACAAGGTGATAATGAACTCAGCACTATACGCAGTTAAATGACTGCTTCAGTAATAAAATGGCAGCAGCATGTTTCAGCTTTGTCCAAACCTTATGTGCAAGAACTAGCATTAGCACAATGAGATCTACCAAATATATATTATAGTTTATAATGGGAGAACAATTTTAATGTCAGCAAAGTTTTTGATAGTACCAAAAGGAGAAATATTACTTTACCTGAGACTGTGCGTTGACATTGGCCCGATTTGTAACCAACACTTTCACTACTTCTGCTTGTCCTGCTAGGGATGCTATGTGCAATGCTGTGTTTCCTTTCTGAAATGAGAGACAGTGATATTTGAAGGGTACAAAACCTGAGCTTGAACACCTGACAATACTATAAAGAACACACTCCACTTTAAAATATAGTGTTTCTCTCAATATAATGCTCTTACTGAGTATTTCTAATGGGCAAGTTCTTCTAGAAGACATGAACAGAAACCAAGACAGGAATCAACAATTTGTTCAGGACATCTCATGCCTTGTAATTTCTGACATTTACTATAATCTAAGGAATTTCTATTAAACAATTATTGAGACCACTCCACCAGTGGAAAATAGGGAGTTACTGCTGCAGTAATGTCTGTAATCATTTGGCTGACAAGTTGTGACCATGTCATCAGTGTGACCAGGAGAACAATTAGATAGGCCTGACTGACCTTTGTCGCTGCATCCACACTGGCACCTCGCTGTATCAGTTCAGAGACAACTTCTACATGCCCTTCTTTGGAAGCGAGATGGAGAGCATTCAACCCATTCTGATAAAAAAAAAAAGAAAAGAAAAAAAGCAATGGGAAAGACTGGCAGAGGTTTTCCAGTGTTGCAAGCATATCAGGAGACAAATTATTATATCCCAGTTAGAGGACTGCTTCCAAAAACTACTCTTTGTAAAGTTTACAAAAACTAGGTTAGAAGTCAGACTATACTAGCTCTGGGGTCTCAGGTTCTGTGTGCAGCCTCATGATCCAATGGAAAGATAACATTAAATAACAAAATATTCTGCAAGTGGAAGGGAAATGATATGGCAAGGGGTAAAAACAAAAGTTTAATGGGATAAAATATGTAAACACAGCTCATAGAAAAACACTTAAGTTATCATTGACATGAAGTGCGATATAAAGAGATTCAAGAAATAGAAAAGGTTTTTAACCAGCAAATTCCATCAAAATATTCTTCAACCTGATTTGAAATGTTGATGTCCACTCCATTTTTTAAGTAGTCGAGAGCCTTTTCCAAGTTGCCAGCTCGAGCAGCTCTCAGGTAACTTGCATTTGTGTCAGACTGCAAGAAAAAGGGAAAGTACCATTAGAAATTACAGCACAGTAATTCCCTTGGCAAAGAAGTGACTAATGATACAGCCTATTGTACATACATTTAGCTAGACAGGACAGGATCCCAAACTGCCTTATCAAATATGGGTCAAATCCTGCTCTCTTTGCTTATGCAAACTCCCTTTGGTGTAAGCAGGCTGTCCACCTGACTAGGCAGCAGAAGATGGGACTTCATAGATAGACATGAATTATGCAGCACTAACACACAAGGGACCAGGGACACGTCTGGTACCCAGCATGGAAAACAAACATGGTGAGGCTCAGGACAGGATTCCATAGAGTCCACTCTGCTTTTTCCAAAAGTGTCACACCACCTTTAATCAAACAACCAATCAAACCAAAAAAAAACCAAACCATGGTTCTACAAGTTAAGGCATTTTAAAATCTAATGCCTGGTTACATTTTATTTCCCTTGTTTTATGGCACGTTCTATTTACAATTCCTGTCCATGTTCAGTCAAGCAACCAAACAACCCTTGGTACAATGTCATTATCTAAATGCATTTTACTTTTTTTCAGATCTTGTTTTAAAGACAGCTGTGCAAATTTGCTTTATGGTGACTTCAGCTTGAATGTAAGGATGGCAGAAATGATGGTTAAGTCATGAAAGAAACACTGAAAGTAATTCCCATCCCCCGAGGGTTTTAACAGCAAGTTATGCAAATATCCACCAAGCACGGTTCAGATAATGCTGATCCTGCCTTGGAGCAAGTGGGATAAACTGTGTTAGCTTTCAAGAGCAAAAAATCATATCATCTTTGATTTTATTTGTGCCATGGCTTTCCCTGGCATCTTGGGCAGTCCACATATTTTTTTTTTGTGCCCTCTTCTCCATTGGTATAAGGGGAATTGTATTTTTTTTCTCCCCACAGCATCATTTCATCACAGGTTTACATCACTACAACTTTAAGTGCTTGATTGGCCTTTAAGGTTCTAAAAGAGTACAACAATTTAGAGAAAAAAAATTAAAGGCATTAACTGCTGAGGGAAATACAAAACACTCTGGCACCAAAGCTCAGTTACTTATCCAGTGCTGAATGTTAATCTTTTTTCAGTCCCCACTTTCTGTATTTCCTACAGACTTTCCTCCTCTCCTGTCAGAGCAGCCACTGCAAACTGGGTATTTTGTTCAAGCACTGCTTCAAGCTCAGCTGAAATCACCTTCATGTGCAGGATGAAGCAATCAGGCATAATGACAGTAAAATGGTAAGTGGGTAAGAAGGCTGCTTCCTTCTTGGTGCTGGTACAAGCTACAAGATTATTTTACCACTGCTTTCAAAGCAGCAAGCTCTCTCTTCTAAGGACACAGCCATTACTTACAGGGCCTTCCTTTTCTCCTGAGTTCTGCACAAGTGGCACTCCACTTTGTAATGCTAAGTTACTGACAACCTTCCTTGTTCTTCATCATTATTTTCCAAGCCCCCCACACTGATGGTTACAAACCAACTTCTGCGATGTGCTCCAACAAAACTGCCCCCAAATACCAATTTTTAATTAGAGTTTATCAAAACCAAGGTGATACACACACCTACAAACTACATGGTGAGAACTGTGCGGACTACAGGGAAGAACAGCTGCCTTGAGAGCAGCAGTAAAATGCTTTCAGCTGGAAGATCATCTGAACTGTGCAATGCAGATTATTACAGGAGACAGGTCATATTCTCAGTGCTTAGCAACAGCAGCTGCTGGGGTAAAAACAGGTCAGCATTTTATCAGCATTACTAAAGGTATGAGGGAGGACTTAATAGATCGGGAGCCTTTTTGTCACAGTGTCATGGCATGTCTGTTTGGCACAGTCAGCAAGTGGACGATTGTTAACATCAGCTGTTTGGAGCTGCTTCTGGGTGGGAAAGGGATGCACCAGCAAAGCTTGCTGTGGCAAACCAGTTCTCACCAGTCACACTAACGCAGGCCAGATGAGAATCACTGCTCAGAAACACTTAAATACTCAGAAACATTCAAACCTATTTGCTCAGACAAAATGGAGGAGGGAAGAAGGCAGAAGGATAAAGATGATAAAGAGCTGATATTCACATTAGGAGCTAACTGCTGTTTCACTGTAGAGGGAGAGCAATGCCTACGTCTTTTAAGGACTTCTCTTGGATGCACTTGCTTGTTAACAGGAGGAAGGACAAAGGTTAGGTCACGCTTCCAGCCTGGGAACATATAAAAATGTTTCCAATCAAGCTGGCTCAGATGCTGCTAAGTGATGCACAAATCTCCTCCTGAAATCCCTGAAGCAAACTGCATGCCCTCCTTTGCCAGTCACCACTCAAAAATCACTCTTCTTGCTTAAACTGTCCAAAACCACCAGTGACACCAGCAGCCAGGTTGCCACCCGAGCCCATGGGGCTGGTGAGGTGCTGGGCACAGTGCCACACTCACCCATCAGCCTGGGTTCTCCCTGCTTACACGGGGCCAGGCTCCCAGCACGAGGGGCACCATACAGGAACAGCAATGCTGACATGAACAGGCACCACAATGACAACGAAGAAGTACCCAGAGAATCTGCCTTTTAACAGCATGCTGGGGATGACACAAACTCTCCCACACTTCAGTTGATCTGAGTTGGCACTTCCAGTTTCCACCTTACTGGTTTCCAGTTACACGAATGTGATGTGAGCCGGTAGTGTGTGAAGCTGCATGAGCTGCCTTAGCAGCTGAGGTCCATCCCTGCACATCCCTATGCACTGAGGAAGGGGAAAGCCTTTTTTTTCTGACCTTGGCCAAAGTTCCCCAGCCCTCAGACTGAGTTAACTCACCTCAGGCTGGTTAACTCACCCTTTCTGGGCCACCCCACACAGAAATTTTTAAATCTGCACAGAGAGATAACAGACTGAGGTTGTACAATGAGGCTTCTGGGAGTCTCTCCATCCCTTACAGTCTCTGCCATAAGCAGAAACAAGCAATAGCATTAAAGAGAAAGGAGAACCAACATCTTTGGAAACCAAAAGCAATTCCAGCCTCTCTAAAAGCAACATTGCCAGGTTCCACTTTCCCTATAACTAAGCCATCGCTTCAGATCTGCTTAAATACAGAATACTCTTACAAGTTTTTTCTACCTTGCAAAATGTCTTGAATATCTTTCTTTTTAAGACATTTCACTTCCCAAACCCAGAAGAACCAATAAGCTCTATCCAACTTTTACAAAAGCTAAGCACAGATGTCAGTAAAAATTGATCAAAAACATCAAAGCATAGCTCTCACATTTCTGAACCTAATTTTTTTCTCAACTTCACATTTCTATTTTAAGCCTTATTTTTTCTTTTTTTTTTTTAAATATCACAACAGAGTAGAAAAATGTCGGCTCCAATTGGTGCTGTTTTGTTTAAAACAAAGCCTCTTGGAGTCCCTGACAGAACCTGTAATTGCCTCTGTACAGCACAGGAAGGAATGGCATTGGAGCCTAGGCACAAATCACTGAAGGGTTTAGGAGATCAAACAAGCATAACAATAATGTTAATAATTATTTATCTGGATTACCATCAGGCCTGGAAGTCCATGTCAAATGCTGATCACAGACCTGTTATATTAAATGCATTAAAAACACAGCAGGGGGAAGAAAGGATTTTAGGTTTCCAGACACTCTCACAGGTAAGTGCTCTCTCTGTAGGTAACTGTTCTCAAAATACCCACTTCCACTTTCCACAATAGCTGGCATCTGAAAAACAAACCCCACACAGACAACACGTCTACAGGACATTCCCTTAATAGACCTAACAAAAATTTTCTTCAGTACTAATTACAGAAACCTCAATATTCCTGAGAGTCATTCTGTATGCTAGCCATCTATTCAGATCTCATTTTTTCTAGTGTGTTTTTTTGTTTGTTTGTTTGGGGGTTTTTTACCATTTTTTTAATCAATCGCAACATGAAATGAGGAAGAAAATTGGGTTTTGATTCTCTGCTGTCTTGACAAATATCAAGAGAACTACAGGCATGGGACATACATCAAAGCACCCTAAATGTTAGATGTTCTTGCAGTCAGCCACAAAGATTGCAGCCCTTGCTGTGCATTTCCAGAGGGCGCCTGTTGTCAGGGTGTGTCCCTGAAGCCTCTCCCTGCTCCCTCTTGTGCTCCCTGGGGATGCTACCTTCTCAATTGCTATATCCAGACTCAAAAATCAAGATTCTTACAAGTGTTGTGATTGTTGGAGAGACAGATCTCAGATCCTGTGTATAGCATTTAGATCAGAAATGGTTATTCAGACAATATTTATTCAAGAGTGAAGAGTCCTACAACAGGTTGGATGGCAGAGCCTGTCATGTGGACCCTGAGAACCATTTCCCCATTTTGAGGGAAAGCTACATGAGTTGGAAACATTTTTTATTAGAGGAAAGACTAACTCCTAAGTCACCTGGATATTATCTTAAGCCTCCATTTAAAACAGAAAATGCTGATGCTGACTCACACTAGCAAATACATATTCACTACCTCTCCAAGTGCTCCCAGGGAAGTAAGAGACTATTTAGCATGAGTAAAGACAAAAGCTATCAGGAAATTTGCACTGACTGTCAACCCAGGCTCTGGCCTGGCTTTTCCATGGGACTAGGGACAGTCCTTTAAGAAACAAACAAATAGAGAATATGTATTTTTTTAGTGACACCTCAAAAGTGCAAAGCCACTATTTTCAAAGCGCTCAGCCCCCCTCCAACACTGATGGTATTTTTATTACCCTCATCTGTCTTTCCTTTGTGTTCTGCTTACACTGGCTTCTTTTTCAGATTAAAAATCCAGTCTTTTTTTTCACATTGGGAGCAGGGTTTTGTTTTTCACTCCATCTTTAACAGTAGCTGTTGTGAAGGGAAACCCCCAGTAGGTTCCCATTGTGCCAGAGCAGGATGCATTCTGGCTTGAGTCCCAACAAAAAGATGCTAACCATGCCTAACATTTGTTGTGGGGGGAGGCAATGACCTCATTTTAAGGGATGAGCTTATGTTACTTCCATTTG